GAAGGAAGGAAGGAAGGAAGGAAGGAAGGAAGGAAGGAAGGAAGGAAGGAAGAAAGAAAGAAAGAAAGAAAGAAAGAAAGAAAGAAAGAAAGAAAGAAAGAAAGAAAGAAAGAAAGAAAGAAAGAAAGAAAGAAAGAAAGAAAGAAAGAATAGCAGATTGAAAGAGTTTGGAAGGAACCTTTGAGGTCTTCTAGCCCATGCCTCTGCTCAAGCAGGAGACCCCATTCCATTCCACACAAATGGCTGTCCAGTCTCTTTTTAAAAGCCTTCAGTGATGGAGCTTTTATCATTTGTAACTTCTGAAGGCAAGCCGTTCCACCCGTTCATTGTTCTCACTGTTAGGAAATTTCTCCATCTAAAGAGGCATGCTTTTTCAGTTGCTGGAAATATAAAAACAGAAAGAGAAAGAGAGAGAGAATGCAAAATCAGGCAGGGGCCTTGAGAACCACACGTTGAAGGCAACACTTTAGATCACTCTGGTTTCATACAGCAGGTTTTGCCCCCAATCCTAACAAATCTCCTGTTCCAAGCATTTAACTGTCTTATGATTTAACATGATGGTCTGTTCTGCACAACTGGTTGAGATGATGGCTGAATTCCCAAAATACTAGTAACTAAAATTGCTAACTACTCAGCCATCTCTACGCTCAAGTTAAGCATGTTGTGCAAATCCAGCAGCAATGTCCTTGAAAGAATTTGAATTCCAGCAAAGAATTATGTCTGGTGACTTGCTCAAATCCCTTCCTAAAACGGTTTCTAGAGCAGCGGTTTTCTGCACCCTGATTTTATGGTTCCCCTTCAGCCTTTTTTTTTTTTTTTTTGGTGCTATTTTTACTTTAAAAAAAAAAATCAGAGAAAATTGTTGCTTTCCTTTCAGACCTGGTTGCTGTGCAAAACATGGCCCGGCAGAGGCTTACAAAACCTCCATTGATTTCCCAGATGAAACACTCTCTTTCATCAAGTCCCATCCTTTGATGGATTCCGCTGTCCCGTCTGTCATCGAGGAGCCATGGTTCACAAAGACACGAGTCAGGTAAGAGGCACAGCTGGGGCACCGGGCCAAGGAGCAACAGTTCTGAAACAGAATCCAACTCCCATCCTAAGGACAGAAGGCTTGGAGCCCTTCTGCACAGGCTGTAGAGGAAGCACAAAGCTGAATTTTGCAGATTCCTTTGCTAAAAATTGGTGTGTGCGATAGCCTCCTCTGGAAGAAAAAGAACAGAAGGATCAACAACTTACTTACCAATTTGTAAGGTGACCAACTTTTTTAACAATGAAAAGGAGGGCACAAATAAATTGAAGGAAAAAAACAAAGCCACTTGTATGTGGCACATTCTCTCAGAACAATTCTCCTGTGTGGAGCACATGCGTCTCATAATCGCGTCTCGCCGCACTGTACTGAGCCTTGACAAATCGTCATGTCAAATACAAATACGTCACATCACACACAATGGATCGGATTGGTATCGATCAAATATGGAGATTTACAGATTAGTCTTCAAATATCAAAAAGGAGGACTTGTAGGAGGATACTTTTCAAGAGAGGACAGAACTTACAAAAGAAGGACTGTCCTCCCTAAAGGAGGATGGTTGGTCACCTTACAATTTGGTATCACCTACTCTCCAGTTCCCATTGGTTTCAGTTCTACCATCATATTTTATTATTATGATTATTCATTAAACATGACAGTCAACGGAACATTTAAAAATGTATCACAAATAACATTGATTGGCACTGATGGTTGGTACGAGTTGCTGCCAGTGTCCTAGGTATCAATCAACTAACTTCTTAAAATGTATGATGTTCCGAGTAGCGCAGACTTTTGCAAGTCCACTGGCGCTACAGCAGGAAGCTGCAACTTCTTGATGTAGTTTGCAAAATTCTTGGACATGGTACCAAGTGCCCCAGTGACAATGGGTATCACTGTCACATGTTTCATCCATAGTCGCGTAGCTTCACGATTTTTTCCCCCCAGTTCTTTTTCTTCGATTCTGGCATCTCCTGATATAACCATATCAATAAATTGTACACTTTGGTTTTTGATATCTGGTGTGTTGTGTTCCAAATGGGGATCTGTCTTTAATTATTATTATTGTGGTTGTGGTTGTGGTTGTTCATTGAAAAATGAATGAAAATTATGAATAAGTTTAAAAGCATGTACATACAAACCCAACTGCTCACCTTCCTCTTTCTCACCAGGATTGCACAACAGGGAAAGGCTGATTAATGCAGGTGACACAAAGAAAGGGATTTTATAGTTATTGAGCATGTTGTTTTTCTTTCTTTCCCGCATACAAAATACGCTGTACCCATGACGAGCAACCTTTATTTGATTAATGTTCTGGCTGCTGATATCAGAGCTCAGCCTAATTCACACACCATTGGCAAAAGCTGTGATGTTTCTCTTTCAAAGCTATGGAAAACAAGCTTTTGGAGGGTGGCCTTCCTTAAAGAAAGTTGTGTCTGCCCCCCGATAGAATCTATTCCCCATCATCCTCACAAAGAAGTTCTCCATGAAAATCCCATTGTCCCTGCAAAGCAAAACAGGATGTTCTGACCAAGCCTCATTCAAATCAAATAAACACAAAGTATATATAAAAGCAAACCTTTTTAATGCTTCTCTGTGAATTCTGTTCATTCACAGCAAAGAGTCATTAAAAACTAATTGTCCCAGATAAGAGCAAGCCCTTTCAAGGTTACGAAAGGCTGCCAAGAATACAAGATTAACTGCAGAGAAATATTCCAAACCAAAAATCTCCAAACACAAACCAGAACAGACAGGGCTTCCACAAGAACTTGGAGTTGAAAGAACTTCTTTGCTTCCTGCAAAGAAGCCAACTCCAAAGGCTGGCTTTTATCCCTTAGGGGAGGAGCCATCACCTTGCAGCCTTACTCCCGAGTGACCCATGCTGCTTCAGCTGCTCTTTCCTTCTAGCAGCACTGACCACAAACTCCGAAGGCAGCACCCCACTCTCTGATAGTCCTGACCCCATCCCTGCATCATATGCAGGCCCCTCATCCGAATCCTCACTCTGAAAGACCTCAGCCATCTGCACCTGCTGTTGCGAACCACAACACAGGATGTGAAGGGGGAGAGAGCAATTATGATGAGAGATGTCTTGATCTCAACAGGTATCGGTTGACCGCGATTGCCGTGGATCATTCAGCTGGCCCATTTCAAAACTACACAGTCATCTTTGTGGGCTCTGAAGCTGGAATGGTGCTTAAGATTCTGGCGAAGACCAAAGCTTTTTCACTGAATGACAGCATCTTACTGGAAGAGATTGATGCTTTCAATCATGCAAAGTAGGTCTTATTTTATGAGAATGGCTGAGAAAGATTTGACGGTGTCCATCTTGTTCGAGTCCCTTTTGCTGTTAGCCACTTGATTGAAAAGAACTTCTTCCTTCCTTCCTCCCACTTTGGTGACATTTCACTCCCTCTGTCATCTCATCCTGCCTTAGTAAAGCCCAGTCATTAAAGAAATGTGGGTTTGCATAATTTAAAAACATAGTTGGGCCATGTTTGCGTTGAGGTGAGCACGTTTTGTTTTCATGGACATATGCATGGACATGCCCCAGTATTTTGCCAATACTCCAAAACTGTGCAAGTATATCAACAACCTCTTGTTATCCTCTGGTAAAAAATAATCAGAGAAAAAGCTACTGTAGAAAAGCCAATGAAGTCATTAATAATGATCAAAATGATAATTGCTAATGAAATTCTGGATGTTTCACCAAATCTTCTCTTTTCATAGCATAACAACAGTTGGCCTTGTCTAGAAGTCTAACTAATGGAAATTGCACTCTTGAAAAACACATTTTAGTGGTTGAGGTTTTGTTAAAAAATGGGGAGCTACTGGCTTGTCTTATCTTGATTTGTGCTTGGTTGTCCCTTCAGCATAAAAATCTCCTCTTCTACCACTAGGCAACTTAAAGAGAAGAGTTGTAGAAGTTCATCCATCATTTTAATACTGAAATTCTACTTTGTTTCTCTGACTATGTCAGATTTCCCCAACATGCAATTGTCCTTTGGACTGGAGGGTACAACATTGGAGAAGACTTCCATATGTCTTCTTCCAACTAACTGTGGTCCACAAACGTCCATGTGGGAGAAGTGCTTTTAACAAAGTAATTGAAAGAGAAAGTAACCAAAGTCTATGTAAGCTTGAGATGACAAGCATCAACAACTGGATACCCAAAATGTAAAGATCTTAAAATTCCTGTGTCCCACAGATGTAATGGGGATGGTGAAGAAGACAAAAAAGTTGTCTCTCTGCAACTGGACAAAGAGCATCATGCGTTGTTCATTGCGTTCTCCAGCTGCATCATCAGAATTCCCCTCAGTCGTTGTGAGCGTCATGGATCATGCAAAAAGTAAGGCATCTCTACAACCTCGTGCTGTTGGTTCTGCCAATCGTCCAAGACAATGGATGACTAATACCTTACTTGGTTTTGCTGTAGGACTTGCATTGCTTCTCGGGACCCTTACTGTGGCTGGTTGGCCCACGGATCCTGTGGGAGAGTGAGAGCAAGCATGTTGTAAGTAGAGAAATTTTATTTTTGAGTTTTACATCGCCACACCAAAAGTTATCAGAATGACATTAAACTCCCTTTTACAACTCTGTAATCCCCTAATTTGGGGTAGAGTCAGGGCAGTTGGATGGAGCTGAGAGTTTACTGGCCAGATGCCCTTCCTGACACCTGTGGGGTGTTCACAGCAGATACCTTTTCTTTGTGCCCTAGGAGAGAAACATCAGCTGCTCCCTAGGATTGAACTCTCAGCCTTCTGAGTGGTAGGGGAGTGTCTTCACCATTAGGCCACCACATCCCTGTTATTAAAATGACATTCTGCCCCATAAAATATTTTAAATATTAATGTTGTACAATGAGCTTTTAAACCCTAAAAAAGCTTCCAGTGAGACTTTTTAAAGAACTATCTTCAATTACTGGATCATCTTTAATTAAGACCCAAACAGTGGCACAGAAACCATCCTTGGCATAGATTTCTTTCCATGGGAACTGTGGCAGGCTCCAGTCATGCCTGATTATACTCTCTTCTTCCCTAATTTAAGGTTATTCTGGTTGTTGTTTGTTCCTTTTTAAGACTCCAGGATGCTGTTCATTTTTATGTAACATTTATGTTTTCTTATTCACATTTTCATGAAAAAAGATGGCAATACAGGGCTAGATCAGCTGCAGTTTGTATGTGAGCTGAAGACCAGTTTTGGGGGGGAACAATTTCCAATCTTTAGGTGGTCCAATAACGAGGGAATGTGAATAACAATCTTAATTCACATTTGCTTCAGAACAGCCCGCTATTTAAGACTGCCGTTGTCCAAAACCTGCCTCCATTCCTGCCCTTTCCCTGCCCTTATCCCCATAATTTTCCATCCCATAATTGTGGCGCAGTAAACGATGAAGCATGTGGGGCAGAGAGCCTCTTTTCTCCAGACTGGAAGTTCTCCATGGTGGTAGACAGAAAGATGTTTTGCGATGCTACTTTGTCAGGAAATAGCCCATAGGTCAGGCACTGTGTTCAATAGCTTAATTGTTGGAAATTTGGGTCATGGTTTAATGAGAAAATCCTTAGGGCAAAGGCGACAAAATAGGAAGAGCAACTGTGAGCTAAGACCAAAGGCCTGCTAGAGTTGGCCTGCATTCATTAGCTGTGAACTATGTGTCAGTACACATCTTAGGAAGCATAGGAAGCCACCACTCATCCTTGCATGGATCATGGTCAAGAACACCGCGCAACACAGTATGGATTGTGATCTAGAGGACTACCTCCTAAGCCATTAGATTATTGATATGCTATTTGAAATGAGGCCTCCCTTTCATTTTTTGTCTTACACATCCTTTCTTGAGTGCAGTATCTACCTGCAGTAATAAACAGTAATATGTAAACAGTAGTATGTATACTTATATTATGTATACTACATAAACAGTAGTATGTATACTTATATACATACATACATACATACATACATACATACATACATACATATCAGTGGTGGGATTCAAATTTTTTTACTACCAGTTCTGTGGGCGTGGCTTGGTTGGCATGGCAGGGGAAGGTTACTGCAAAATCTCCAGTCAGAGGTGGTATTTGCCAGTTTTCCGAACTAGGCAAAATTTCTTCAGTTCTGGTTCTCCAGAACTGGTCAGAACCTGCTGAATACCACCTCTGATACATATATACATAAGGTGGCTCAGTGACTAAGAGGCTGAGCTTGTCGATCAGAAAGGTTGGCAGTTCGGCAGTTCGAATCCCTAGCGCCGCGTAACGGAGTGAGTTCCCGTTACTTGTCCCAGCTTCTGCCCAACTAGCAGTTCGAAAGCTCGTAAAAATGCAAATAGAAAAACAGGGACCACTTTGGCAGGAAGGTAACAGTGCTCCGTGAGCCTTTGGTGTTTAGTCATGCCGGTCACATGACCACGATGTCTTTGGACATCGCTGGCTCTTTGGCTTTGTAACGGAGATGAGTACCGCCCCCTAGAGGCTGAAACAACTAGCACGTATGTGCGATGGGAACCTTTACCTTTACCTTACACATACATACATACATACATACATACATACTCAAGCTACGACCACAACTGAGCCCAAAGTTTCTGTTGCTAAGTGAGACAGTTGTTAAGTGAATTTTGCACCATTTTATGTCACCATTTTTAAGTGAATCATTTCAGTTGTTAAGTTAGTAACACAATTATTAAGTGAATTTGGTTTCCCCATTGAATTGGTTTGGCAGAAGGTCCCCAAAGGGTGAACCCACGACCCCATGATACAGCAACCGTCATACGTATGAGTGGGTTGCCAAGGGTTTCACAGGACTATGAGGACGCTGCTATGGTCAGAACAGAACAGAGTTTTATTACAGTGGTAGATCAGAGACCAGGACAAATAAAAACACACAATATAATTAAAAATTCTAGAATAAAATAATAAATAACAGATAAAATCCAGTCTGTCAATTAGACATGGTCTAACTATACTAAAATCACAATACATAAACTGTGTGGCTAGTACGGTTGTAAGGCTGAAAAATGGCCACAAATCACCTTTCTTCAGAGCCATTGCAACTTTGAATGGGCAACTTTGTAAACTGAGAATTATTTGCATATCCATAGATGCGTACATACATATAGTGGTGGGATTTAAAAAAAAATTACTACCTGTTCTGTGGGTGTGGCTTGGTGGGCATGGCTTGGTGGGTGTGGCGGGAAGGATACTGTAAAATCCCCATTTCCACCCCACTCCAGGGGAAGGATATACTGCAAAACCCACATTCCCTCCCCACCCCACTAACCTGCTTTCCAGCTCTGTTCTCCTGTGCAGGGCAACCAAAGAAGACCCAGTCGATCAGCTGGGACTCAGGAGGCAGAGAATAGATGGGGTGGGGCCAGTCAGAGGTGGTATTTACCAGTTCTCCAAATTACTCAAAATTTCCACTACCGGTTCTCTAGAACCGGTCAGAACCTGCTGAATGCCACCTCTGCATACATACCACATTAGAGTCCTTGTCTTTGTTTCAGTGATAATGTTGATGATGTTGTAGCCCTCTTTGGTTTCCCCAACTCACGCTGTTAATTGCAGGTTGTCTTTATTTGTTTCATACAACCACAGCCTTGGAGGGTATGAGCAAGACGTGGAGTACGGCAACACTGCCCATCTGGGGGATTGCGACGGTAAGCTCCTCCACCTTTGACGTCCTCTTGAGAATGCAGCATGGTTTGGTTTGTGAGCCGCACAGTGGTGTGGAAGATCCTTATTTAATGGCACTGAGCACTTGCCTTCCCTTTAAATTGAAAGCTGTTTGATCTTGGGTGGTGGATTTCTTCGACCGTTTTTTCCCCCCAACCATCACGCTGGTTCGTGAAGGTCCACAGCCACTTTGTTATTATATTGAACCCTTTTTAAATTTTTTTTTAACCCCTGTTTTTCCCTCCCTTTTGGGTAGCCAATTGTGTTTTATTTTCTGATTTTTCCGTTGCTCAGGCTTTGAAAATCTTTTGCTTTTCTTTTTGGTTACTTTTCACTGATTACGTGTTCCTTTAATTCTTTTAGAAATTTTGCCTACTACAACTACACCAGATTACAAAATATTTGGCGATCCAACATCTGGTTAGTTTTTTCCAATCATTTTTTTCCTTCCCCCCAATTAATGAAGCTTTTCTTTCCTTCAGTTTGGATATTTTCAG